TGACACCGGCGGTAACCTACACCTGCAGAGACACCAACTCCTTATTATGGCATATGGATTCATATCATAAACTAAAGCTCAATGCCATTCACGGATATTTACGGCTGCATGAACAGATATATCCTCAGCATATTCATTTCTGCCTCCACAAAAGCAGTGATTTTCTTCAAGTACACCAGTTTTTTTCCCCATGGAAAAGACGTATTTCTCATATATTCTTTTTTTAAGTCTTTATATTTATGACAATGTGATGCTGATGTGCCAGAGGATGAAGTATCTCCTTGTTTGTGAAACCTATACTGAAGCACAGTTCCTTCAAATGGTTCATGGCCCTAATTTTAACAAGCCTCCTCTGAAATAACAGGGAACCTTATGATTTTATTCTCATAAATTAATGACTTTATTCTCGTAAATTCATGACTTAAAGTCTTTAAAAAAAATTCTCAATATGGCCCTCATACTCCTTCATACAAAACAATCATTGGATTAATTTTGTGGGAATGATCTGTGCTTGTATGTATCTACTATTTTGTGTCTGTGCAAGGTCGCACAATTAGAACAATAAATGCTGCGCTCCGCAGCTTTTTTTCTAGTCAGTCGTGACGTAAGCCTGAGGGTGGGGACATTTGGAGACCTTTCGGAGGACTTCCTGGTGGAGTCGCCAAATGTCCCCGCCCTCAGGCTCGCGTCACGACTGACTTAAAGAAAACCCGCGGAGCGCAGCATTTATTTTTTAATTGTGCGACCTCGCACAGACACAAAATAGTTGATACATACAAGCACAATCAATCCAATGATTGTTTTGTATGAAGGAGTATGAGGGCCATATTGAGATTTAAGACTTTAAAGACTTCGAGATTTAAGTTGTGAATTTACGAGAATAAAGTCATTAATTTATGAGAATAAAGTCATAAGGTTCCCTGTTATTTCAGAGGAGACTTGTTAAAATTAAGGCCATGAAGCAGTTGAAGGAACTGTGCTTCAGTATAGGTTTCACAAACAAGGACATACTTCATCCTCAAGCACATCAGCATCACATTGTCATAAATATAAAGACTTAAAAAAAGAATATATGAGAAATACGTCTTTTCCACAGGGAAAAAAACTGGTGTACTTGAAGAAAATCGCTGCTTTTGTGGATGCAGAAATGAATATGCTGAGGATATATCCGTTCATGCAGCCGTAAATATCCGTGAATGGCATTGAGCTTTAGTTTATGATATGAATCCATATGCCATAATAAGGTGTTGGTGTCTCTGCAGGTGTAGGTTACCACCGGTGTCAATGACGTGGTGCTCGTCTGAGCTCGACTCCCTCTGGATCACAAATGTTGATCATCATCAGTTTGATTGTTTCTTCAGAAACCACAAAATCCGTCTGAATGACCCGCTGATACATCCACAGATAACCCTGCAGATGACCGGCTTCAGTCATTTCCCCCTCCACAAAAGCAGCTTTATGACTTTCTATACTTTATGACTTTATTCTCCTAAATTTACAACTTTAATCTCTAAATCTTAAAAGAAAAAAAAACTCAATGATGTCCTGATCCTCTGCTGTAGTTTTGTCAGCTTTCTTATTTCTAATGTTTTTGATTGTTGTAGCAGAGCGGATCAGTTGTCTCTAAATCTATAATGTTTGGTTTGCCGATTTTAGTGAGTTCAGAGATCATGCTCTCATACAGCCTGAGCTGACTGTCTGCTGTTTTTGGATTTCTTGTATTTTCTTTAAAGACGCGCTGTGTCTCCAAGCGAGTCCAGCCTTTCACCTGAAATGCGCAGCTGTGCAGCGGCACGCAAGAATTCTGGGATACCAACGGCACGAAAGCGTGCATAAATGCACCCTAGAAAAAGAGGCAGGGGCAGTATGATTTTGAGACCGAATTTGAAGCGCGCTCAGCATTTTGTGCCAAACGGGACACCGTTCGTGCCGCGTGAGGACCTCACGCACGCTTCAAATGCGCCGTTCAACGGTTGCAGTATCTGAAATGGGACACAGGAAGGGTACATAACGGCGCATAACGGCACATAACGGCACAAAACGGCAGTGCACTCAGCTAAGCGCGCTTATCCCGATGTGGTCTCTGAAATGAGACACAGCCTGAGTCTCTGTGTCTGGTCTTACCAACAGGAACTTCTCATGATATCCTGCAGCTGCTTTGGCTGCGGAGTCCGCTGCTTGGTTGCCCATGGCAACTCTGGATCCGCTGTTGTCGTGTCCTTTGCATTTGATGATGGCTACCTTCTGGGGAAACCACAGTGCTTTTGCAAGCTCATTCATTTCATCCATGTGTTTAATGGGTTCTTGTTTTGCAGTTAGGTAGCCTGCTCTCATCCATTGTCCTAGGTCTACTTGTGCTGCGTGTACTGTATAGGCTGAGTCTGTGTAAATGTTAATGTCTTGGTCTTTACCTGCTTTCAGGGCTTCTATCACTGCCACGACTTCTGCTCTCTGGGCTGACTGTAGTCCATTGAGCTTTTGTGCTGTTACCGTCTTGGGTCCGTCTGGTGTTTCTTCTATCACGAGAATCCTGCTCTGAGTCCCTCCTTCTCATCTCTGTTGCAGCATCCGTCTGTGTATAGGTTTCTGGCCCATGGGATGGGCTCCGACTGGAGGTCTTCTCTGGCTTTTTCTTCTTTTTCAACCCTGTGGGCACACTCATGCAACACACCTTCCCCCAAACGCTCAGCCATGTTGACACCTTCATGTGTAAATAGCAAGTTTGGGGCTTCGAGAATGCGAGCGAGTTTTTGCTGTCTTGTGGAGGACATCGTAAAAGTCTGCAAGTTCACATAAGCTACAACGCTGTGTGATGTCAAGATGTGAAGTGTGTGTCCCATAACTATGTGTGCGCTTTTGTTGATGAGTTTGGCAACACCTGCAGCATGTCTGGTGCATGTTGGTTGGCGTTTTTATGTGGGGTCAAGGATGACACTGAGATACATCAGTACCGTCCTATCTCCCCCTTTTTTCTGGAACAGAATACCGTTAGCAACAGATTCTGTTTAAGAAACATCCAAAAAGAACGGGCGAGAGTAGTCGGGAAGGGCCAATTTGGCCGATGCGGCGAGTTCTTGTTTGAGTTTGATAAACGCTTCTTCCGAGTCACAGGACCATGTCAGCTTCGCATTCAGATTTCTCATACCTGCGGAGGTGACCATGGTCCTCAGCGGAGCCGTGAGAGTGGAAAAATCAGGTATGTACTGCCTGCTGTAACCCACCAGACCGAGAAACGACGGCATAGCTTTGACTGAGTCAGGCTTGGTGTGGTGCAGAATGGATGTGCGGTGAGCGGGGGACAATGAGGCCCCTTTTTGTGACAGTAGTCTACCGAGAAAAGAGACTTGTTTCCGCGCGATTTGCAACTTAGGTTGACTGACCTTGAACCCGTGATGGGCCAGGAGTAGGAGCAGGGCACGTGTGGCCTGCAGGCATGACTCGGCTGTGGTGGATGCAATGAGTAGGTCATCGACATATTGAATCACTGTGGTGCCATCGGGCAGCTGCAGGTCAGCCAAACATTCTTTCAGAACCTGGTTAAAGATGCCAGGGGAGAGGGCGAATCCCTGTGGGAGGCGGGTGTAACGGAGTCTGCGGCGTTGGTAGGTGAACGAGAAAATATCCCGAACGTTCTCATATATTCTTTTGCAAAGGGAGACAGAAAAAAGCGTTAACAAGATCAATACATGTGAACCATGCTTGTTCAGGGAACAGATTGTTCAGGGCAATATATGGGTTTGGCACTGGGACCGTGCTGGTCCCCAAAACCTGATTGATGGCCCTGAGGTCATGGGCCATACGGTACTTACCGGTGCCCTTCTTTTCAACCAGTAGAATGGGTGTGTTCCAGCAGGAGTCGGAGGGTTCGAGGACACCAGAGTCTAACAGGCCTTCTATGGTGTCCTGAATGCCCAGTTCTGCCTCTCTTTTGTGAGGGTACTGTGGCACCCAGACTGGAGAGTCAGTATTCAGCTGGAATGAGATAGGTTCACAGTTAATCAATCCGACATCGGTTGGACCCTCGGCCCACAATGAGGCTGGGAGGGAGGATATAAGCTCCTGTGCTTTTGGATGATCAGATTTTTCTCTAGGTATGAGTTCATGTGTGCTTAAAGCAGAGTCAGTGGTGGTACTCACAATACTGAACATTTTCAGGGACGGAGAGCGGAGCACGCCAGGCAGGCTGGAGGAAGACCAGTCTGTGGCCAAGACTGCTGTTTTGACCATGGGGCCCAATTCACGAGCCTCATGTCCCGGATGGAGAGCCAGTGAAATGTGGGGGAAAGCAGTCTCAGACATATTATACCATGACTGTTGCTCTCTTGTGAGATTAACCATTGCCGCAACCCCCTGTTCTCCCACCAAAATGTCACCAGAATGTAGCTGCCAGGTCTTACCTTCTAGCTGGTTTTGGAATTCCTCTCAGTAACATTCATTACCCTCCCGGTCGTGGACCAGAGTCAGATGGAGCGGGTCAGGTGGAGCCATGTAGGGGTGGACGCAGAAGATCCAGGGTTTCCAATGGAGATAACATGAGTAGAGCCCAGTCTGTGATGGCTCCAACAGGGCCCAGAAAATGTCTGCAAATCTAGGTTCAGTGTCTCTGAGGAGGTACTGGTGTGTGTCCCCAATCCCTTGTGCACATTGGACTTCAGTCCCATCCGGGAACGTGACAGTGAGGCCCTGCTTACCGCAGAGGATCTGTGCATTGAGTCTCGAGAGTAGGTCCCTACCCAGGAGATTGACTGGAACACTAGGAGACACTAGGTAGGGGTGGTGTAATTTCTGTCTGGCTATGTGTGTGGGGAGGGGGATGGTAAATGACTGAGTCTGACTTACCCCAGAGAAACCCACCACGCTCATAGTCCGTCCAGACAGAGGCCCAATGTCCTGATTAACCGTGGATCTGGTAGCCCCTGTGTCAACGAGAAAGGGCAGAGCGTCATGGACAGCATGGGCTCTGCCGTTACCCCGCTGTCCGGGTCGCTCTGTGGGGCGTGTCATTGAGGATACTGGTAGGCGTCCTGAGCCTCCCAGGTCTGGTCCCAGGCAGTGACTGCAACTGGAAACTGGTGAGCCTGCTGCTGCTGCTGTTGCTGTTGTTGCTGCCGCTGCGGTTGGGGTGGTCCTCCCTGTCTATGCGGAGGTGGGCCACGGGCCATGCCGCGCATCGGGTAGCTGTGTTGCTGCGGAGGATTCGGTGGATAGTTTGGACAGTCACGCCACCAGTGTCCGTTCATACCGCAGGAGTGGCAGGCGTTGTTGCGTATGGGTGCTGTTTGTGTCTGATTCCAGTAGTCGCGCTGGCGGGGAGGGCCATTGTTACGAAATCTCCTGCTGCCCTGGAAACCTCCTCCCCTGTAGGGTCCACCAGACCTCGCTTCACGTCCTCCACCCCACGAACCCTGAGATTGATCTGCGGGAGAAGAATAGGGAGAACAATCTGCCCGCTGGGGCACTGGGTACATGTCAGGTGGATTCTGTGGGTCGTTAGAGGCAGCGGCAACCATAATTTTATCTGTATTATGATCTTTCTTACCCTCAGTGGCATTTCTCCGAGCCTGGGCGAGCTGCATTTTCATAAGTTGTCTCTGCATGTCTTTGTCATCATCACCTTCTTTGTCGGCTCTGTCTTTAGCCCTCTGCAGGTGGTGTTTGAGATGACGTTCCCACACCAGGCAGGTTGAGCCCGGGAGGTCTGGGCTGTTTTCTAAGAGTTCTCTAACGTCTGCTCGAACACCTTTAATGACAGCATCTCTAAACCAATGTTCCTGACCCTTACTGGGGTGTACCCCTGTGTATTTGGACCATTGCTCCTTGCACTGGGCTAGATACTTGCTAGGAGACAGACTTTTTTCCCATGAGAATTTGGGAATTATTGGGCCGTTGGGGAGCGGGTATTTGGAACGGAGTTCGTTGCGCAGAGCCCTAATTACCCTGACTAGCTGCCTGTCATCATTGCAGGAAATGGTGCCTGCACAGGTTTCGATGTCCCTGAGTTCGGTATACTTGGGTGTAATTATTGTTTTCTGCGGCGGACTCCAGGCGTTCTGCTTCTCCTTGCCAGAATCTCTCCCGGTCTTCTTGTATCGCGGTGTTGCGTATGCGATTAAGGCGACGGTATTCAATCATGTCGCCTCTGAGACGGGCGGCTCTGCGGAGCTCTATGATTTCTAGGGTTGTTGGTGATATCCAGGGACGCCTAGGTGTATGGTGGGGGCGTTGGATGGAGTCAGCAGCTGCCTGTTTTAGAGTAGACACAAACAGATTCCAGTTGGTGAGTTCTTCTCTGGCCAGGGTATTATACCGGTTGGAGATGGAGCTGGTAAATGCTGAGGTGATGGTTGGATCCTGGAGATGGGAAGATCTCACTCTTGGTGGTGCCCGTGATGAAGGAACAGCCTTTAATTTCAGTCTCAGCTGGGCAACCAGTAATCGATTGTCCATGTTGCCTAGCTGGGCACCACGGTACATACGACAGTTGGTAACACTGGATTTCCATCGGCTGGAGATGATGATGTGATCTAAAGCCTTGCAGGTTTTGCCATCATTGCTGTACCATGTCCATTTGTGTATGTTTTTCCTGGGGAACCACGTGTCTACGATGGATAGGCCACCGGCACTGCATAAATGCTGGAGGCGGTCGCCGTTGTTGTTGGTGATGGGATCTGGAGATTCTGGACCAATTATGTTTTTGGTTTGCGGGTCCCGTGAGGCAGAGGAGACGGTGGCATTGAAGTCTGCGAGGACAATAGTGATGTCATGTGGGGGAACCTGCAGGATGACCTGATGTAGCTGATCAAAGAATGCGTTCTTTGTCTCGTCGTCTGCGACCTCTGTTGGTGCATAGGCAACAATGATTGTTAGGGTCAGCTGGCCCCCAAAAAAATTGATGCACATTGGAGGTGACACCCCCCCTCCTCTGCATATCAGTGGAGAGGAGGTTGAGTTTGTGACCTCCTTTATCTACCTTGGGTCCATCATCACCAACAACGGCAACATCATAACCAAAATAAACCGGAGACGCGCCCTGGCAGCCAGCGCCATGAAAACACTCTGGAAGCCGCTGTGGAGACACCACTCCATATCAAGAGCAACCAAACTAAGGATCTACAACACCTCAGTCCTCTCCATCCTCCTTTACGGAGCTGAAACATGGCCACTCAACAAGACCCTGGCTGCCAGAATAGATGGCTTTGACACCAGAGCACTGCGCTCAATAGAGGGTATTAAATGGCCAGATAGGGTCTCCAACATCACACTGAGGGAACTGACACAACAGCCCTCTGCCTCCCAACTGGCAGCACAGCGTCGATTGCGCTGGTACGGCCATATCAGGAGACTCCCCCCAGAACATCCTACTCATGATTTCCTCCACTTCCAACCCAAAGCTGCCGGCTGGAAACGCCCCTGTGGTGCCCCCCGCACACGATGGATTGATGTCGTCACCGGGGACCTACACCAACTGGGCCTGTCGCTTGCCGTAGCCGAACCCCTAGCACTGGACCGACCCCAATGGAGAAGATTGGTGAAACTGATTGGCTCTACGCATGGCGCCGTCCCCGTCGCCGAGCAAGACACCTGATGATGATGATGATGAGTTCGGTAGGGGTGACACAGAGCGTGAGAATAGCCCTGAAATCGCCGAGGGCTAGGTCTTGGCCTTTAGTCAGACAGTCCAATTTGTCCAGCCATAAGTGGCCTCCCTCAGAGATGGGGGCAGCTTATCACTGATGGTTTGTGTATCGCTAACGGCGAATGGTTCGATGAGCTCAAGCAGCATATCAGCATACTTTTCCCTCCCTTTCGCTGTCACCACAACTCCTTCTTTCTCTATGCCGTTTAAGATCCATTCTGCCTGTAGAGATAACGGGCCCCACCCGTCATCATCTACGTCACAATCAAATTCACCATCCATCCCGACAACAGCAACGTCTCTTTAATGGCCGGCTGGTTTGTATGACACTTCCGTTTCGGGCAACCAACCTTATTGGAGGCCTTCACAAAGCCGGTCAGTTTGTATGACACGTTCGTTCCGAGCAACTGACCCTTTCAGTGTAGTCCTGAGACACTTTGTGTGAGGTTTTCTCCAAGACACCACTTTGAGACAAGTTCAATTTTCAGCATATATGTGGTCGAAACAGTCACAATTCACGCACAGGCTTCACTAATGTCACACAGCAGAGAGAAAGTTATTCTCCACTGAACTTTTTCTGTACGGCAGAACTCCTCACACAGGTTTCAACTGTATCACACAGGAGAGACAAAGTCAGTCAAAACTGACTTTTTTTCGTGCGGCACAGCTCCTCGCACAAAATTCAACAATACCATACAGCAGAGACAAAATAAGTCTCTACTGACTTTTATTTTGTGCGGCACAGCTCCTCGCACTAAATTCAACGGTATCACACAGCAAAGACAAAGTCTGTCTGTACTGACTTTTTATGCGGCACAATCCCCGCACTAAATTCAACAGTTATCACACAGCAAAGACAAAGTCAGTCTAAACTGACTTTTTGTGTGGCACAGCTCCTTGCACTAAATTCAACAGTATCACACAGCAAAGACAAAGTCAGTCTGTACTGACTTTTAGTGCGGCACAGCTCCTCGCACTAAATTTAACAATATCACACACTTCTTTTCGGGGGCTCCAAGTCGCCGGGGTTCGCAACCCAGCTCAACTAGTGCCCCCTAGAGCCACTTGTGGGGTCCACCACAACCAGGAACCTAGTTTCGGGGGGCTCCAAGTCCCCGGGAATCGCAACCCAGCTCAACTAGCGCCCCGTCAAGCCACTAGTGGGGTCCGCCACAACCCAGAGCGGTGGTCCTTATGACTCTTTTCACACAGGCTTCTTTTTTCTTGCCCCCTTCTGGGCTTTCTTTTCTCATATAGTTTTCTTAAGTTTTTCTTTTCATTTCACACATAGTTACTCTCTTCATCAGAACACAGAATATCACAACATGTACCGGTACAATACCACGAGCCTCGTAATGAATTTAGAATTCAGTATATGCAGAGTTTCAGAGATCTTTGATTTAGAGTAACACAGATAGGCAGAAATTCTGTTAAAAAGGTTTTCTGCTTACCTTATTTTGTGGTCGACCAGATCTCTTTTCCTCTAATGCACTGAACATTTTTCTCTGATTGAATTGCTCTGTCGAACTCCATCCCGGACGAGCCCCCAAAATTGTTGAAGTTATCCAAACTTCCCCGAGTCCGTTGATGGAGACTGGAACAGAGGATTCATGAGGCAAAAAGGTGTCTTCAACCAACCATTTATTTCGGCACAGCAAATAATACAAGATATCTTGGAGAGCACAACATCAACCCAATGGTTTCTCTGAAGTGGTCTGAATACTATTTTTCAGTAGTTAACATTTATACATCTGAGGCGTCTCATCATCTTTATGGGCGGAGAGTTTACATCACTAGCAGTCCCCAGTGTCTCTCTATGGACAAACAAGCACGTATTCTTCTGTTTTTTTACCTAACCAAAACCGTGGTTTCGGGGAAGTTGACCTTGGATGCACACAGTGCCTGTCTCCTTTTTATCTTATTTGCGTCATGTATTCCGGGCTTTCACTGAGTTCCCACTGATCAGACTGCTGGGCATGCAACCCTCCCTTTACACCTCCACATCTTCTCAGGACAGAGCGATCTTCCTCCCTCACCCTGTTGTTCACATTTCTGAGCTACACCTGCACGTCTGTTATGAAAGGCACATCATTATCTAGAGCAGTGGTCTCCATATGGCGGACCGCGGTCCACTTCCGGACCGGGAAAGAGTCCAATACGGACCCGAGCCTACCGCAGAAAAATGTATGTTTTTTTTCTCTCTTGTAGGCCTGCACGATATATGTTTGTGCGATAGTCACATCGCAGAGCCTGCGATGTCGGAGGTGAATGAACTCAGATAATTTCAAGGGTAGCTGACTGAGATACACTGCATGTGACTCTGCATGTGCTGTGCAGCGATCCACCAATCACCTTTGTCCTTTACTCAGTTGCCAATCAGACTCAGTTCTCAGTTGCCAATCAGACTACCCTGACAGCTGTCAATCAAAATCAGAGAGGAGGAAACCCACCCCTGCACATGTTCTGCCCATGGAGTGGGACGCGTGTCCGCTGAGAATTACTTTCGGAACTTTACTGACTGTTAAGCCCAACAAATAAGAACTGTATGGGTTTTAAAATGTATATTTCCGTGGACCACTCTACTATAAGCGGTGCGCGTTTTGCGAGGTGCATGCAATTCTCGGAGGACATGCGTTTCTCGGCACAACACTGCTAACAACAACGATTGCAAAATGAGCAACGAACAAGAGAAAACCACCAAAAATTAAGATTTGTTGCCAAAAAGAAAGGAAAGTCAGTTATCTGGAATTATTTCGGTTAAAAGAAGGATGATGTTGACCAAAACACGTGTTCTGTGTTCATCTGTCGCAACAATAACGTCCCAGCACAATAAAAGCTAAAAATATCTCTGAGACAGACAGAAGCCATTCAAACATTCACAAAAAGAGGTAAGATCAGTGCAGGTTAACTGTCCTCAAGACTTCAGCAGTGCAGTATAACATTAAATGCTATTCAGGTCATCTGGTGAAAATTCCTGTATTTTTGATATCGCAATATATATCGCAGGGTTGAAAAAAATCGCAATGTTAGTTTTTTCCAATATCGTGCAGCCTTACTCTCTTGCTTTGTGCCTGGTTCAGTAAACTGCACATGCAATTTCAGCAAGGCATTACATCACTTGCTTACTCGCTTGACTTGTCAATCAAATCAGACCTCTTAGCCTACTCGACACACGAAGATTACCGAGCAATCCCGATGTTGAAAACTGTCAGCCGGCAGACTGAGGAGAAAGTTGTAGCAGCAGCTAAACATGTCGGCTTAAAAACCACGAAAGGTAGAGAATGAGAACAGGGTGTTTTATGGCGAGTGGACCGAGTCATTTGCATTCATTTTACCCACAGGAAGCACACAGCCAATTGAAAGTAGGCAGTTATTGGCAATACAAATGAAGTGAATATTTCAAAAGAGTAATGCACTGTAGAAAAATAAATAAATAAAAATCCCTGGACCCAGGCCTGCAGGCATTTCATTCAGGTGGACCCACTGAAAATTTATATGAAGACCCCTGATCTAGAGCATATGTCAAGGTCATAGACACATGATGATTATAAGGAACACTTCTAATGAATGACTTAAGGCATCATAGCAGAAGAGTTTAAAACCATACTTACCCACACTTGGCACTTCTAGGCATAAGCTAAAATCTTTCTTTACTGAGAGTCTCTCGTCTATACGTTGTGACACAGTGATCAATTGCCCCCGTGTCAGCTTTAAATTTTCTAATCTGAGTCATCAGTACATGTCCGCAATGAGCACACAAAATAATGTAAACACAATAAGAAAACAGTTAAATACCTGAAACAATGGCTAAATGATTGGCATGATATATTATATTATCACCTGAAACAATGACTAAATGATTGGTATGATATATGAGTTCCCACAGTTCTTGGACAGTGATTTTAACCCTAACTCCATATCCCTAACCTCAGCCCTTTAACCCAATATCCGTGTGTTACCTAAAGGAAGCCCTAACACCAAAAAAAAATTGACATTTTTCTTTTTTTCTAACGAACTCCAAAAGGTTTGCAACATGTTCCTAAAAAGTATTTTGGACAGTGATTTTAACCCTAACCCTAAACCTAGCCCCGTAACCCAATACCCGGGTGTTACCTAAAGGAAGCCCTAACACCCCCCAAAATTTGTTTTGACATTTTTCCTTTTTTCTGTTCTAACTAACTCCAAAAGGTCTGAAATATGTTCCTATAAAGGTTCTGGTCAGTGATTTTAACCCTGACCCTATAATCCTAACCATAGCACTGTAGCCCAATACCCAGGTGTTACAGAAAGGAAGCCCTGACACCCCCAAAAAAAGATTGACATTTTTCCTCTTTTGTTTGTTCTAACAAACTCATAAAGGTTTGAAACGTGTTCTTAAAAAAGTCTAGGACAGTGATTTTTTACCCTAACCCCATAACCCTAACCCTAGCCCTTTCACCAGATACCCTGTTCTCCAGCAACCCCCTCCCCGGCCCCAGGATCTTCCTCAGGCCCCTGAACACCTTTGAAACCCAGCCCTCCCTCTGGCCCCTGCACACCCCATTTACCCGGCCCTCAATTGGGCCCCTGCACTCCCACTCTTAATACCCCCCCCCCCCCCCCCCAACATCCACTTCTACAAGAAATCCCCTAAATCCACGCTCCCAAAAAGAATGCGCCCCTGGTAAGGTTAAAAAAAAAAATTCATTTTTGATTTTAATCCTAACCCCAAACCCAAACCCAGGATATTTAAACCATTACCCGAGTATAACAAAAAAGAAGCCCTAACACCCCAAACATTTTTTTTTTCATTTTTCGTTTTTTTTGGTCAAACTAACTCCAAAAGGTTTGAAACATGTTCCTCAAAGGTTTTTGGACAGTGATATTAACCCTTATGCAAAAACCCTAACCCTAACCCTAGACCCCTAACCCAATTCCCGGGTATTATCTAAATGAAGCCCTATAACCCCAAATATTTTTTTTCTCTTTTTTTTTTGTCTAATTAACTCTAAAAGGTCTGAAACATGTTCCTAAAAAGGTTTTGGACAGTGATTTTAACCCTAACGCCAAAAACCTTAAACCTTACCCTAGCCCCCTAACCCAATACCTGGGTATTACCTAAAAAAAGCCCTAACAACCCCAAAAAAAAATTTTCATTTTTTCGTTTTTTTTTTTGGTCTAACTCCAAAAGGTCTGAAACATGTTCCTTAAAAGGTCTTGGGCAGTGATTTTAACCCTAATCCCAAAACCCTAAACCTAACCCTAGCCCCGTAACCCAATACCTTAAAAAAAAAAAGCCCTAACAACCCCACATTTTTTTTGACATTTTTCTTTTTTTTTGGTCTAATTAACTCCAAAAGGTCTGAAACATGTTCCTAAAAAGGTCTTGGACAGTGATTTTAACCCTAACCCCAAAAACCTTAAACCTTACCCTAGCCCCGTAACCCAATACCCGGATTTTACCTAAAGGAAGCCCTAACACCCCAAACTTTTTTTTTTTCTTTTTTTTTTTTTTTTGGTCTAACTAACTCCAAAAGGTCTGAAACATCTTCCTTAAATGTCTTGGACAGTGATTTTAACCCTAACCCCAAAAATGTTAAACCTTACCCTAGCCCCGTAACCCAATACCCGGGTATTACCTAAAGGAAGCCCTAACACCCCCCCAAATTTTTTTTTTTGACATTTTTCATTTTTTGAGATTCTCCCGCGCGAGGACGGCGGCCCGGCAGGGATCAGCTCGCATCCCTCCGTCTGCTGCTGGTTCGTCATGTGGGGCGACGTGCTGCTCGGCCACGGGGATGTGGTGCACGCTTGTCACATAGTGAGTCACCAAACACCGCCACACAGCGTCGCCAAAGTGAGAATCACAGTCAACGCAAGTATCGGCTCAACGCCAATTTCTACACCACCTCCTGACTTTGCGTTGATTAGCGCTGGAACCGACGCTCATTTCGCGATGATAAATCTGGACGTGTGCGCCGATTTTGGCGTACGCAAGGTTTTCTTGCGCCGCAAGCGTTGATACATGAGGCCCCTGATTCAGATGACTCCACCCTCCTCTGAGCAACATCCTCCTCCTCCTCCTCCTCCTCACTCTCAACTTCTTCCTCCTCTTCAACTGGCCCTGGTGCAGGTAGGTGTGTCAGGAGAGCAGGCCGTGTGTGGCGGATAGGACGACAGCGACCACACACCAATTCCCAACCATGTCCGAGTGGCAAGGGGTGATTCTTTAGTGTGGGGTGGCGCACTAGATATGCCAAGTAGTTGGCACGGAGACAGTGTTGCCATAAGCTGTCTGCATCTGGAGGGAGATGGATAAACAATTTTCTCTTCATGGCTTTCCACTTAGAGGCACAGGCATCAGCCATGAAGAAGAGTAGCACCTCTTCTTGTCTCCGTAGATCACCTGTCTAGTGAATGCAAATAGCTCTTGTTCTACCTCCTCTTCAAGGTCAAGGCTATCTCCACACCGGGAGAGTTGCTGCCGTGCCAAAGAGCTCTTTGCCACCTTCTCAAAGACTGATGATTTTCCTTTGCCATTAAATTCTGAGTTGGCATCACAGCCTGTAAAACAGTGTAGCTGCACAATGCAGTGTGCCATCTCTTCTGTCAGCCATGACAGAGGACTGTCTCTTTGTTCCTCTTGATGCATAGCATGCCAGGGAGCTGCTGTGAGATGACTGATGCTGCAACATAGACATCAGTATCAGCTGCATGAATAACAACGGGGCCACTATAGCCTGACTGCCGTAGACCTGCATAAACAGTAAAGAGGCCATCCCCCACACTTCTATGGGAAACAGGTAAAGCAGTCATCAGAGGAATTATCATTTCATATTCAGCCCATAAGAAAAAGAAAGAAAACAAGCAAGAATCTGAATTACAAGAAAAAAATCAAACAGCTAGAAACTGTCAATGCAACTAACCCAACAGAAGAAAAGGAGAAGAAATTAAGAAAATATAAACTAGAAATAAATGAAATTCTGAACAAGAAAACTAACTTCATGATCAGCAGGCTCCGACAGGAAAACTTCCATCACAATAACAAATCCGGCAAATATCTCGCAAACCAAATCAAAAGAAATAAAGAAAAATCCACAATCTCCACCATCATTAACTCAGCAGGGAAGTCAACAAACTCACCCGATGAAATAAATCAAATATTCAGAGAATTTTATGTCAACCTATACTCCTCAGATAACACCCCTAAGGAAGAAGACATCAGTCTATTTCTCACCAACCTCAATTTACCCCAACTCTCCCCTGAACAAAAAAACACATTAGACACACCCCTAACAACTGAAGAAATCCAATCTGCCCTCAACAGAATGCCTAATAATAAAGCACCTGGTCCTGATGGCTTCCCTGCTGAGTTCTACAAACACTTCTGGTCCATCTTAGCTCCACTTTTTCACAGAATGATAACAGAAACACAACAAACCTCCAGACTTCCACCCAACATGAATACAGCATCTATCTCACTGCTTCTTCAACCAAACAAAGACCCCACCCTGCCTTCAAGTTACCGCCCCATTTCACTTCTCAACGTTGACATTAAAATTATCACCAAGGCACTTTCCCACCGATTAGAAAAAATTATTCCATCCATTATTCACCCGGATCAAACAGGATTTATTAAAGGAAGAAACTCATCCAATAACACACGCAGACTATTCAATATAATGCACCACTCAACCACACATAACCATAACTCAATCATAGCCACCTTGGATGCAGAAAAAGCCTTTGACAGAGTTAACTGGTCATTCCTCATCCACACCCTACACAGTTTCAGCTTTGGGGAATCATTTATTAACTGGATTAAAACACTTTACACCTCACCTACAGCCACAGTTATTACTAACGGACAAACCTCACAAAGCTTCACTCTTCACTCCAGGCAAGGTTGCCCACTCTCTCCCTCTTTGTTCACCATTTTCATTGAACCCCTAGCAGCAGCCATCCGTCAGAACCCCCTCATTACAGGAATCCAAACCCCCAACATGCACCATAAAATCAGCCTCTATGCAGATGACATTTTACTTTTTATGGATAACCCAAAATCATCACTACAAGAAGTAATCAGTGTCATCAAATCCTTCTCCCTTCTCTCTGACTACTCAATAAACTGGAACAAATCCTCCATACTCCCATTAAACACCAACAGTCTGGCTGTGGCAGCCCTTACAACACCCATCCCCTTCTGCACAAGTCAAATTATACAAATTATTATCACAGGCCGACTCAACACCCTCCATACCTTCAGAAAAATGGGAAACTGATCTCTCCATTGCTCCTGATGCCGACTTCTGGCCCCAAATCTGCAAGAACATTTTCTCCATGACGAAAAATGCCAATCTACAACTCATACAATACAAAATCCTTCACAGAACTCATCTGACTGGACACAAAATGCAAAAAATGGGCTTCTCATCATCTGGAAATTGTTCACACTGCTCACTAAACTGCACTGATACCTATATTCATGCAACCTGGCACTGCACACCTGTTCACCACTTCTGGAGAAACATTACAGAAACATTATCCCAGATTATGGGCTGCCACATCCCACTTTCCCCTTCCCTCTGTTTATTAGGAGACCTATCTACATTAAAACTTGACAAAACTCACACACGTTCACTTCTAGTGGCACTAACCGTCGCCAGGAAAACTATCCTCATGAACTGGAAGTCTCAGAACTCCATACACATAATACACTGGAAAAACCTGCTCATAGACTACATCTCCTTAGAAAATACAAACTCCTCTGACAATAATCATAACCCTATCTGGTTATCATTCATCACTTTTCTAAGCTCATAATCTGCCACAAACCAGTCACAACATCATCCATCGCTGTTCTCTGACACTTTCATTCCCAACTTTTTATTTTTATTTTATTTACTTATCTATTTATTATTATTATTATTATTATTATTATTATTATTATTATCTTTATTATTACCTTTATAATTTTTTTATTATTATTATTTATTGATTTTTATTTTCTATTTTTATTACATATTACTACAAATATTATGATGAATATTATTGTCATTGTCATTTTCTATTATTATTATTTATTTATATACTTACATTTACAGTTGTTATTTTCTGCTCGGGTCCCTGCTGGGTCGTGCCTGTTAGACAATGACCTGTGATCTCCTTGCCCCCCCCCCCCCCAGTTCTCCGCCCTGGTTCTCTGTGTGTTTCCCCTTTGCTTTTTTTCGGGTGGCAAGAGAGTTGTGTGCCGCTCTTATGCGGGTCACCTTGTTGACATTTCTGGAGTGCACCAGCAGTTGTTTTTCATTTTGGAGGATTGAGAGCCAGCCTGACTTCATTTTACTGCCCTTGTTCATAGTACACTCAATCCACATGTCCCAGGCCATGTTGGAATAAGGGTTACCTGTGATGGACTGAGTGAAGTTAGAACGAAGGAAGGCAACCTGTTCAGCAGGGAGAGCTGTCAGCATTGCCCAGAAGTCAGGCAGCCACCTCCCATGCTTGTTGTTGTCATATGCTACCATCCACGGCTGCATAGCCCGCAGAAAGCTGACATACTATTCCCAGTTGCAGATATGAACTGCATGCACATTCTGCATTAGTGAATCTGTCATGGACAGGAAGTCCCTCCAGTAGTCTGCCATGTCACTCACGTCTACATGGGAGAAAAGCTTGGTGATGAGATCCTGGAGATCAGCATCATCCTCCAGGGCTGAATGAGCAGCAGCACGGGCTTCCTGGGAGAGACTTGTATTCCTCAGAATATCAAGATTCTCTCTTGTCCCCTCTGTTAGGTTGGGTATCAGTCTCTCCTTGGCCAGCTGGCTCACAAGTGCCTCATACATCAGCCTCAAGCAACGAAGTCCCCTCTTATAATGCTTGCCTTTCAGAGCAGAATCAACGGATCTCTCAGCAATAACTCCTGCCGCTACAAGTACATCTTCTAGCTCACTCCCCTTGTAGCGCTTGTAGATGGCACTCATCATTACACACTGTGTATGGAAAGGACCAAGAAAGGGCACGATGTCACGGTACTTGTCTGGGTTCTCAGCCTTGAGCAGAGTGACAAGGACATACACAGGATGATCTCCCACTAAAAAGGCAATGGGCATGTGTTTTGTGATGATGATGTGAGATAGCTTTTCCATGATGTCATTCACAACTGACTTGTTCGGCAGTTGATTGTAAGACATATGAAAATAAGCCTTGCTCTTTGACTGCTCCTTATTCAAGCTGGCATGAAACCCATTGTAGGAAGGAATAGTCTGCTCAGCTGCATCAGGACGATCACCATTCTCGTTTGCACGAACAAGGGCATGAATAATGCTCCGCTTGGGCTGAGGCTCTGTACTTGATGAGAAAGTAGTGGGCTTGGGGCAGATAGGAGGTTCCCCACGCTTGCTCGTCCTATATGGTGTAACTGCCTGCATCTCCGATACCTTCTCAGTCAGAGCCTGTGAAACAGTCTTTGCATCTTTGGTGCGTTTGTGTGCATCCTGGATGTTTTTCTCCTTCTGTGCAAGATGATCTAGGCGCTGAAGAAACATCCAGTTACAGCGGTGACCAGTACCCCCCCCCCCCCCCCCGTCAAGGTTCAAGGTCATGCATGGTCCAGATATCACGCAATAGAAGCACGTCATGGTAGCTGATCCCCATGCCCAACTTGTAGTAACAGTCAACAAGCTCCTTGCTGCGAGTCAAACCATGAAGGGTGATGGTGGCATTGATGGCAGTAGTGGTGGGTCGTTTTATCGCATACTGTGTGATAAGAGAGGTGAGGGAAAGTGTGCATGGAGTCAGATCTACCTCCTCCTTCCCCCGTAAAGCAGATAGCAGCTGCACCAGGAGAGGTGAGAGCTCTTCCTTTGTCATCGTCTGTCATTTTCTTGTATTTTGTTACATATTTCATCCAACATGTGTAGTGATATCTGATCTCAAGTGCATAGGGCTGATCAGCTGCAGAATCGATCAGGCAATTGATTCTGTCCCACATTGTCTGATCGTCCAGGGCAACTGTATGGCTCTTGAAAGCTGCCCATGCATGATCATATGAAATCAGCATCAGCTTTGTTTCTGGGTGCTTTGGTGACTCAGGCTTACAACACCACACACATTTTGTTTTATCGTGTATCTGCCCAAGACTTGATCGCAGTCGTTTGGCAGGTGGATCTGCAGCTGTGGAACAGTTATCCAACAAAGAAGACTGAGATGGGATTTCTTCAGTCTCTTGTTTTTTCTGTCTTTTTTTGGCTTGTTCCAGTTTATTAGAATTGAATAGGGTCAACCTACATGCTTCATGGACACATTTTCCAACTGGACCTTTATCCCAATCGACAGTTGTATAGACATGTCCAAACTTGTCAAGGCCACTCCATAACAGTGCCCTGTGTTTTATGTTTTCCCATCTCTGGGTTGACTTAATGGTATCTGTGGCTTCATTACACAGACTACCACACTGGAGAATACATGACTGTCTGTCTGTCCCTGTTGGTATATTATTTTCTTCCATATTCAAGCAGCTATGTATGCTGCATGCACACTGTCTTTACAGATCAAATGTGTAGCTCCCTTAACTGTGGGCTCAAAAGAATTACTAAATGTGTAGCTCCTCTCACTGTGGGCTCAAAAGAATGACTGAGGCAACATTTAGGAAAGCAGCAGCACTAAACAAGCAGCATGTGCTAACATGCCCTGACATGAAGGGACAGCCAATCAAATTGCCTGAGTTAAGTACTGCTGCTGACATGAATCAAGCATACTGGATAGTTTGAGTGCAATATTCACTGGCCTTTATGTTGTTGTTAAGTTAAGTTTTCTCTGTACTTGATCATTGGTTGGTGGGATACCCCCAGATGACAGTGAAATAATAATGTTAGGACTTGTAAGATCCTCAAAGAAAAAGATCATCACTGCGTCAAATAATATAAGAAAAAAAAAAAGAATAATAATAATTATACATTTTATTTGTAAAGCGCTTTTCCAGGACGCAGACGCTGTACATGAGTAAAAGTAAGAACAATGAAACACACATCAATATACAATAAAAAAAGGCAAAAATTGTGAAAACGGCCGATATACAAGCTCACACGCCTCAAAATACAAGGTGTTATGGGCTTGTAGATCTGATATTTTTACAATATCTAAATGTGGAACAGAGTCATACAATTTGGGGGTTACCCAGTTCAAATATGATTGTTTTGGGGGGTCAAGTCCTGAAAAGGTTGAGAATCACAGTACTAGATGGCAGCCATCTTGAATATCGCGGTCAAAACAAAGTTGTATGATTAAAACGATGTCAGATTTGGAATCCTCATGGTTGACTTGTATAGAAAAGTGCCTTCATACATGATTCTAGGTCATCCAGATCAAAAGTTAATTTTTAGAGATGGCGCCGGCCATCTTGAATTTAGCTGTCTAGAAAAAAAGTGCCGGGATTTTTGCAAGGGACCTGGGGGCTAAATCTTTTCTAAAGGGTCCATAGAGGTCAATTCCTAAAAAAATATTGGACAGTGATTTTAATCCTAACGCTAAAAACCTTAAACCTTACCCTAGCCCCATAACCTAATACCCGGGTATTACCTTAAGGAAGCCCTGCGACCCAAAAACATTTTTTTTTTACATTTTTCAGTATTTTTTGTCTAACTAACTCCAAAAGGTCTGAAACATGTTCCTAAAAAATATTGGACAGTGATTTTAACCCTAACGCCAAAAACCTAAAACCTTACCCTAGCCCCATAACCTAATACCTGGGTATTACCTTAAGGAAGCCTAAAAACCCCAAAACATTTTTTTTGACATTTTTCAGTATTTTTTTGTCTAACTCCAAAAGGTCTGAAACATGTTCCTAAAAAATATTGGACAGTGATTTTAACCCTAACACCAAAAACCTTAAACCTTACCCTAGCCCCATAACCTAATACCTAATTACCTTAAGGAAGCCCTACTACCCCCCCAAATTTTTTTTTTTCATTTTTCGTTTTTTTTTGGTGTAACCAACTCCAAATGGTCTGAAACATGTTCCTAAAAAGGTTTTGGACAGTGATTTTAACCCTAACACCAAAAACCTTAAACCTTACCCTAGCCCCATAATATTATACCCAGGTATTACCTTCAGGAAGCCCGAAAACCCCAGATATATTTTTTTTATTATTCATTTTTTTTTGTCTAACTAACTCCAAAAGGTTGGAAAAGAGTTCCTACAAAGATTTTGGACAGTGATTCAAACCCTAACACCAAAAACCTTAAACCTTACCCTAGCCCCATAACCTAATACCCGGGTATTACCTTCAGGAAGCCCGAAAACCCCAAATATTTTTTTTTTCATTTTTCATTTTTTTGGTATAACTAACTCCAAAAGGTCTGAAACATGTTCCTTAAAAAATATTGGGCAGTGATTTTAACTCTAACGCCAAAAACCTTAAACCTTACCCTAGCCCCATAAACTAATACGGGTATTACCTTCAGGAACCCTGAACACCCCAAATATTTTTTTTTCATTTTTCGTTATTTTTTGGTCTAACTAACTCCAAAAGGTCTGAAACATGTTCTAAAAAGGTTTTGGACAGTGATTTTAACTCTAACGCCAAAAACCTTAAACCTTACCCGAGCCCAAGAACCTAATACCCGGGTATTACCTTCAGGAAGCCCGGAAACCCCAAAACATTTTTTTTTCATTTTTCGTTTTTTTTTTTGGTCTAACTAACTTCAAAAGTTCTGAAACATGTTCCTAAATAGGTTTTGGACACTGATTTTAACCCTAACACCAAAAACCTTTAACCTTACCCTAGCCCCGTAACCTAATACCTAATTACCTTCAGGAAGCCCTACTAACCCCCCAATTTTTTTTTTTTTTGATTTTTCGTTTTTTTTTGGTCTAACTAACTCCAAAAGGTTGGAAAAGAGTTCCTACAAAGGTTTTGGACAGTGATTTTAACCCTAACGCCAAAAACCTTAAACCTTTCCAAAGCCCAATAACCTAATACTCAGGTATTACCTTCAGGAAGCCCAAACACCCCAATTATTTTTTTTTTGTTTTTCATTCTTCTTTGGTCTGACTAAATACAAAAGGTTGGAAAAGAGTTCCTACAAAGGTTTTGGACAGTGATTCAAACCCTAACGCCAAAAACCTTAAACCTTACCCTAGCCCCATAACCTAATACCGGGTATTACCTTCAGGAGGCCCGAAAACCCCAAATATTTTTTTTTTCATTTGTCGTTTTTTTTTTGGTGTAACTAACTCCAAAAGGTTGGAAAAGAGATCCTACAAAGGTTTTGAACACTGATTTTAACCCTAATGCCAAGATCCTTAAACCTTACCATAGCCCCAAAGCCTAATACCCGGGTATTACCTTCAGGAAGCCCGAACACCCCAAACTTTTCTTTTTTCTTTTTTTTTGGTGTAACCAACTCGAAAAGGTTGGAAAAAAGTTCCTAAAAATGATTTGGACAGTGATTTTAACCCTAACGCCAAAAACCTTAAACCTTACCCTAGCCCCATAACCTAATACCCGGGTATAACCTTCAGGAAGCCCCAAATATTTTTTTTTCATTTTTCTTTTTTTTTGGTCAAACTGACTCCAAAAGGTTGGAAAAGAGTTACTACAAAGGTTTTGGACAGTGATTTTATCCCTAATGCCAAAAACCTTAAACCTTTCCAAAGCCCGATAACCTAATACCTGGTTATTACCTTCAGGAAGCCCGAACACCCCCAAATTTTTTTTTTCATTTTTCGTTTTTTTTTTTGGTCTAACTAACTCCACAAGGTTGGAAATGAGTTGCTACAAAGGTTTTGGACAGTGATTTTAACCCTAACGCCAAAAACCTTAAACCTTACCCTAGCCCCATAACCTAATACCCGGGTATTACCTTCAGGAAGCCCGAACACCCCAAATATTTTTTTTTCTATTTTTCATTTTTTTTGGTCTAACTAACTCCAAAAGGTTTGAAAAGAGTTCCTACAAAGGTTTTGGACAGTGATTTTAACCCTAACGCCAAAAACCTTAAACCTTTCCGAATCCCAATAACCTAATACCAAGCCCGAACACCCCAAATATTTTTTTTCATTTTACATTTTTTTTTTTGGTCTAACTGACTCCAAAAGGTTGGAAAAGAGTTCCTACAAAGGTTTTGGACAGTGATTTTAACCCTAACGCCAAAAACCTTAAACCTTTCCAAAGCCCCATAACCTAATACCCGGGTATTACCTTCAGGAAGCCCGAATACCCAAAATATTTTTTTTTCATTTTTCATTTTTTTTGGTCTAACTAACTCCAAAAGGTTGGAAAAGAGTTCCTACAAAGGTTTTGGACAGTGATTTTAACCCTAATGCCAATAACCTTAAACCTAACCCTAGCCCCAAAACCTAATACGCGGGTATTACCTTCAGGAAGCCCGAAAACCCCAAATATTTTTTTTTCATTTTTCATTTTTTTTTTGGTCTAACTAACTCCAAAAGGTTGGAAAAGAGTTCCTACAAAGGTTTTGGAAAGTGATTTTAACCCTAACGCCAAAAACCTTAAACCTTACCCTAGCCCCATAACCTAATACCCGGGTATTACCTTCAGGAAGCCCGAACACCCCTAATAGTTTTTTTCATTTTACATTTTTTTTTTTGGTCTAACTGACTCCAAAAGGTTGGAAAAGAGTTCATACAAAGGTTTTGGACAGTGATTTTAACCCTAACGCCAAAAACCTTAAACCTTTCCAAAGCCCCATAACCTAATACCCGGGTATTACCTTCAGGAAGCCCGAACACCCCAAATATTTTTTTTTCTATTTTTCATTTTTTTTAGTCTAACTAACTCCAAAAGGTTGGAAAAGAGTTCCTACAAAGGTTTTGGACAGTGATTTTAACCCTAACGCCAAAAACCTAAAACCTTACCCTAGCCCCATAACCTAATACCCGGGTATTACCTTAAGGAAGCCCGAAAACCCCAAATATATATTTTTTTCATTTTTCATTTTTTTTGTCTAACAAACTCCAAAAGGTCTGAAACATGTTCCTTAAAAAATATTTGAAAGTGATTTTAACCCTAACGCCAAAAAACCTTAAACCTTACCCAAGCCCCATAACCTAATACGGGTATTACCTTCAGGAAGCCCGAAAACCCCAAATATTTTTTTTTCATTTTCATTTTTTTTGGTCTAACTCACTCCAAAAGGTTGGAAAAGAGTTCCTAAAAAGGTTTTGGACAGTGATTTTAACCCTAACCCCGAAAACCTTAAACCTTTCCAAAGCCCAACAACCTAATACTCAGGTATTACCTTCAGGAAGCCCGAACACCCCAAATATTTTTTTTCATTTTTCGATTTTTTTTTGGTCCAACTAATTCCACAAGGTTGGAAATGAGTTGCTACAAAGGTTTTGGACAGTGATTTTAACCCTAACGCCAAAAACCTTAAACCTTACCCTAGCCCCATAACCTAATACCCGGGTATATCCCTTCAGGAAGCCCGAACACCCCAAATATTTTCTTTTCATTTTACTTTTTTTTTTGGTGTCACCGACTCCAAAAGGTCTGAAACATGTTCCTAAAAAGGTTTTGGACAGTGATTTTAACCCTAACGCCAAAAACCTTAAACCTTACCCTCGCCCCATAACCTAATACCCGGATATTACCCTAAGGAAGCCCGAAAACCCCAAATATATATTTTTTTCATTTTTCATTTTTTTTGTCTAACAAACTCCAAAAGGTCTGAAACATGTTCCTTAAAAAATATTTGAAAGTGATTTTAACCCTAACGCCAAAAACCTTAAACCTTACCCAAGCCCCATAACCTAATACGGGTATTACCTTCAGGAAGCCCGAAAACCCCAAACATTTTTTTTTCATTTTCATTTTTTTTGGTCTAACTAACTCCAAAAGGTTGGAAAAGAGTTCCTAAAAAGGTTTTGGACAGTGATTTTAACCCTAACGCCAAAAACCTTAAACCTTTCCAAAGCCCAACAACCTAATACTCAGGTATTACCTTCAGGAAGCCCGAAAACCCCAAATATTTTTTTTGGGGGGTTTTTCATTTTTTTTTGGTCTGACAAAATACAAAAGGTTGGAAAAGAGTTCCTACAAAGGTTTTGGACACTGATTTTAACCCTAATGCCAAAATCCTTAAACCTTACCATAGCCCCAAAGCCTAATACCCAGGTATTACCTTCAGGAAGCCCGAACACCCCAAATATTTTTTTTCATTTTTCGATTTTTTTTTGGTCTAACTAACTCCACAAGGTTGGAAATGAGTTGCTACAAAGGTTTTGGACAGTGATTTTAACCCTAACGCCCAAAACCTTAAACCTTACCCTAGCCCCATAACCTAATACCCGGGTATTACCTTCAGGAAGCCCGAACACCCCAAATTTTTTTTTTTCATTTTTCATTTTTTTTGGTCTAACTAACTCCAAAAGGTTGGAAAAGAGTTCCTACAAAGGTTTTGGACAGTGATTTTAACCCTAATGCCAATAACCTTAAACCTAACCCTAGCCCCAAAACCTAATCCGCGGGTATTACCTTCAGGAAGCCCGAAAACCCCAAATATTTTTTTTTCATTTTTCATTTTTTTTTTGGTCTAACTAACTCCAAAAGGTTGGAAAAGAGTTCCTACAAAGGTTTTGGAAAGTGATTTTAACCCTAACGCCAAAAACCTTAAACCTTACCCTAGCCCCATAACCTAATACACGGGTATTACCTTCAGGAAGCCCGAACACCCCAAATATTTTTTTTCATTTTACATTTTTTTTTTTGGTCTAACTGACTCCAAAAGGTTGGAAAAGAGTTCCTACAAAGGTTTTGGACAGTGATTTTAACCCTAACGCCAAAAACCTTAAACCTTTCCAAAGCCCCATAACCTAATACCCGGGTATTACCTTAAGGAAGCCCGAAAACCCCAAATATATATTTTTTTCATTTTTCATTTTTTTTGTCTAACAAACTCCAAAAGGTCTGAAACATGTTCCTTAAAAAATATTTGAAAGTGATTTTAACCCTAACGCCAAAAAACCTTAAACCTTACCCAAGCCCCATAACCTAATACGGGTATTACCTTCAGGAAGCCCGAAAACCCCAAATATTTTTTTTTCATTTTCATTTTTTTTGGTCTAACTCACTCCAAAAGGTTGGAAAAGAGTTCCTAAAAAGGTTTTGGACAGTGATTTTAACCCTAACCCCGAAAACCTTAAACCTTTCCAAAGCCCAACAACCTAATACTCAGGTATTACCTTCAGGAAGCCCGAACACCCCAAATGTTTTTTTTTTTGTTTTTAATTTTTTTTTGGTCTGACTAAATACAAAAGGTTGGAAAAGAGTTCCTACAAAGGTTTTGGACAGTGATTTTATCCCTAATGCCAAAAACCTTAAACCTTTCCAAAGCCCGATAACCTAATACCTGGTTATTACCTTCAGGAAGCCCGAACACCCCCAAATTTTTTTTTTTCATTTTTCGTTTTTTTTTTTGGTCTAACTAACTCCACAAGGTTGGAAATGAGTTGCTACAAAGGTTTTGGACAGTGATTTTAACCCTAACGCCAAAAACCTTAAACCTTACCCTAGCCCCATAACCTAATACCCGGGTATTACCTTCAGGAAGCCCGAACACCCCAAATATTTTTTTTTCTATTTTTCATTATTTTTGGTCTACCTAACTCCAAAAGGTTTGAAAAGAGTTCCTACAAAGGTTTTGGACAGTGATTTTAACCCTAACGCCAAAAACCTTAAACCTTTCCGAATCCCAATAACCTAATACCCGGGTATTACCTTCAGGAAGCCCGAATACCCAAAATATTTTTTTTTCATTTTTCATTTTTTTTGGTCTAACTAACTCCAAAAGGTTGGAAAAGAGTTCCTACAAAGGTTTTGGACAGTGATTTTAACCCTAATGCCAATAACCTTAAACCTTTCCAAAGCCCCATAACCTTATACGGGTATTACCTTCAGGAAGCCCGAAAACCCCAAATATTTTTTTTTCATTTTCATTTTTTTTGGTCTTACTCACTCCAAAAGGTTGGAAAAGAGTTCCTAAAAAGGTTTTGGACAGTGATTTTAACCCTAACCCCGAAAACCTTAAACCTTTCCAAAGCCCAACAACCTAATACTCAGGTATTACCTTCAGGAAGCCCGAACACCCCAAATATTTTTTTTTTTGTTTTTCATTTTTTTTTGGTCTGACTAAATACAAAAGGTTGGAAAAGAGTTCCTACAAAGGTTTTGGACAGTGATTTTATCCCTAATGCCAAAAACCTTAAACCTTTCCAAAGCCCGAAAACCTAATACCTGGTTATTACCTTCAGGAAGCCCGAACACCCCCAAATTTTTTTTTTTCATTTTTCATTTTTTTTTTTTGGTCTAACTAACTCCACAAGGTTGGAAAGGAGTTGCTACAAAGGTTTTGGACAGTGATTTTAACCCTAACGCCAAAAACCTTAAACCTTACCCTAGCCCCATAACCTAATACCCGGGTATTACCTTCAGGAAGCCCGAACACCCCAAATATTTTTTTTTCTATTTTTCATTTTTTTTTGGTCTAACTAACTCCAAAAGGTTTGAAAAGAGTTCCTACAAAGGTTTTGGACAGGGATTTTAACCCTAACGCCAAAAACCTTAAACCTTTCCGAATCCCAATAACCTAATACCCGGGTATTACCTTCAGGAAGCCCGAATACCCAAAATATTTTTTTTTCATTTTTCATTTTTTTTGGTCTAACTAACTCCAAAAGGTTGGAAAAGAGTTCCTACAAAGGTTTTGGACAGTGATTTTTACCCTAATGCCAATAACCTTAAACCTAACCCTAGCCCCAAAACCTAATACGCGGGTATTACCTTCAGGAAGCCCGAAAACCCCAAATATTTTTTTTTCATTTTTCATTTTTTTTTTTGTCTAACTAACTCCAAAAGGTTGGAAAAGAGTTCCTACAAAGGTTTTGGAAAGTGATTTTAACCCTAACGCCAAAAACCTTAAACCTTACCCTAGCCCCATAACCTAATACCCGGGTATTACCTTCAGGAAGCCCGAACACCCCAAATATTTTTTTTCATTTTACTTTTTTTTTTGGTCTAACTGACTCCAAAAGGTTGGAAAAGAGTTCCTACAAAGGTTTTGGACAGTGATTTTAACCCTAACGCCAAAAACCTTAAACCTTTCCGAATCCCAATAACCTAATACCCGGGTATTACCTTCAGGAAGCCCGAATACCCAAAATTTTCATTTTTCATTTTTTACCAAGCTGAAGCGCACCGCAAGATGGAGTAGTGCGTGCGGACAGAGTGTGTAGGAAATCGACAAGCACACAACACATGAGAAGTGCTCCACCATGGGTGAAGTGGATACCGTCTGAACTTCTTTACCTGACGCAGTTTTTCCAAGTGGTATCATGAAAATAAGACCATCTTAAGAATTCTGGCACTCTCATGATCACTTCTAATTGTACAGAAAAAGTGAAATATTGCAAAAAGTGTAAATGGTAGAAAGGTGAAAATTACACCCCACTAGATGGTGCTGTCATACCATAATCAAAAATTACTATGGTTACATTCTGACTGTAAACTTCTTTTGAGTACTTCCACATTTCACGGGGAGGTTGTAATACATACAATTTTAGGCATTTGGCTATCCGAAGCACCTCGACTGATCATTTTTCTTTGTAATTCACAGAAGACATACAATTTTAGCATTTTTTTTTATTTTTACCTTCATCCAAGTATTTTAGCTTCAGCTCTGTAATATTTTCTACATTTTTATGTGGGGAAGTCACTGAAGCACACCACTAGATGGTGCTGTTTTTCCATTATTACAAATGAGTCTCATCACCCTGTGATGAAGAAAATGTCAAAATGGAGAACCAACCATCAATGGTCACATATTGCCCCCTACCCAATTGAAAAATAAAAGCCCTTTTTCTGTGTACGAACCAAAAAAAATGGGTTCAATGTCAAAATTGAGGTCCTTCAAGAAATAGCTACATAGCACCCCCTTCATAATTTCAAAATGAAACTCCTGCTTCTTTGAGTGACTCAGACCAATGGACTAACAGACACTTATCTTGGATACAACTGAAAATGGCACGACTGCGTTCTCTACAACATTTCTAAATGAAAGCCCTGCTCTGGTGTGCGTCCAAAACCTGTGGAATTAGTGACACTGAAGTTGAACCTTAACACGAACAAAAACAGTTTGAATATCAAAATGGAGATCCATCAAAACATGGCTCTATGGCGCCACCTTCAAATTTCTTTAATGTGAACCACGCTCCTGTGTTTGACCTAAACCTATGAAATTGATGACACTTATGTTTGACCTCAAGACGAACAAAAAGGGTTTAACTGTCATAATGGATATCCATCATAAAAAGGCCCCATAGCGCCCCCTTCAAAATTTCAAAACGTAAACCCGCTCCTGTGGTCCAGACAAGTGGATTCAATGACACTTATCTTGAATCCCAAGAGGAAAAGAAATGGGTTCCAATGTAAAAATTGGGGACCCATCAAAAAATTCCTTCATTTCTCCCTCTACAAAATTTCAAAATGTAAGTTCAGCTCCTGTGTTTGACCTAAACCGAGGGATTCAATGACACCTACGTTGGACTCAAAGTTAAACAAAAAGTTTTCCACTGTCAAAATGGATTTCCAACAAAAATGTGGTCATAGCGCCCTCTACAAAAATTTCAGGACTCAGTGCTGTATTTGAAGTCTGGTGTATACCCTGTCAATAGGAATGGAGCCAGGACCGTCCGTTGTAGAACCCCTGTACTTCTCAATAAGGCCCAGAAACACAGTTCCCCAGCGTGAAGAACTGTGTGATTCCTGTCAGGCAATTTGTGATCCAGGAAACACAGGTAGGATCCACGCCCATCTCTGTGGGCTTGTCTTTGAGTATGATCGGTTGGATGGTGTTGAATGTTATGGTGACCTGTTGTTATGATGACCTGTCAGTTCATTGACCTATTGTTATAAGTGGTATCATGAAAATAAGACCATCTTAAGAAGAGAGACTGATTTTTATTAGAAAACATGACCTGAAACTGGATATCTCTTGCAGGGTTTTATAGTCTTGAATATGTAAAGGATTAGTAATATCATTGACTATGAAACCTTTTAAGTTTTTTTTGTAGGATCAGATTAACAAAAAACATCCTTTGTTAATGCTCAGTGGCTAAAAAAAGCCACTGACATCGACTGCTGTAAAAACATATTGGATTCATATTTTTTCCAGATTTTTTTTCACACATCTCTCAATTAACTTCTGCCCTGATCAAAAATAGTACATTTTTTTATCCAAAAAACAATTTTTTGAGCCTTTGAGAGTCCATTCAAAACAAAACGGCTAATGCCTAAACAAAACAATGGCCCAGCTCCATGTGTGAATACTGAAAAGATGTTTGCAGTCAGCAGCATGTAACTGTAGTGATTTGTAATAATAGAAAAACAGCACCATCTGGTGGTGTGCTTCTGTCACTGCCCTACATAAAAAAGATGTTTGCAGTCAGCACATCACCATAGAAATATTTGATTATGGTATGACAGCCGCATCTAGTGGTGAGCTTCAGTTGCTGCCCTACATATAAATATAAAGAGTGTTACAGAGCTGTAGCTAAAAGCTGTATAAATGCAAAATTATTAAAGTGCTAAATAGGTGGTATTGATCTCAAAAGTATTAAGAGCAGAAGTTTAAAAACTTGTATGAATGTAAAAAATGCTCACGTGAAGACAAAGTTGTAAGACCTGTCAATATTTGTCAATATAGAATTGTTACAGAGCTGTGGTATAAAAAAGGCATATGAATGTAAAATTATGAAAGTATGAAGAAGTGGTATTAATCTTAAAAGTATAGAGAGCAGAATTTTAAATACTTTTATGAATGTAAAAAATGCTCAAGTGAAGAAAAAGTTGTAAGACTTTTGTGAATAAAAATAAATAAAGATCAGTCTAGGTGCTTTGGAAAGACAAGTGCCTAGAGATTTATATATTACAAACTCCCCATGAAATGTTGAAATATTCAAAAGAGGTTTGCAGTCAGCAGCATGTAACCATAGTCACTGGTAGCGGCACAACACTACCTTATAGTGTGCTTCAGTTACTAACTTACCAAGCTGAAGCGCACCGCAAGATGGAGTAGTGCGTGCGGACAGAGTGTGTAGGAAATCGACAAGCACACAACACATGAGAAGTGCTCCACCATGGGTGAAGTGGATACCGTCTGAACTTCTTTACCTGACGCAGTTTTTCCAAGTGGTATCATGAAAATAAGACCATCTTAAGAATTCTGGCACTCTCATGATCACTTCTAATTGTACAGAAAAAGTGAAATATTGCAAAAAGTGTAAATGGTAGAAAGGTGAAAATTACACCCCACTAGATGGTGCTGTCATACCATAATCAAAAATTACTATGGTTACATTCTGACTGTAAACTTCTTTTGAGTACTTCCACATTTCACGGGGAGGTTGTAATACATACAATTTTAGGCATTTGGCTATCCGAAGCACCTCGACTGATCATTTTTCTTTGTAATTCACAGAAGACATACAATTTTAGCATTTTTTTTTATTTTTACCTTCATCCAAGTATTTTAGCTTCAGCTCTGTAATATTTTCTACATTTTTATGTGGGGAAGTCACTGAAGCACACCACTAGATGGTGCTGTTTTTCCATTATTACAAATGAGTCTCATCACCCTGTGATGAAGAAAATGTCAAAATGGAGAACCAACCATCAATGGTCACATATTGCCCCCTACCCAATTGAAAAATAAAAGCCCTTTTTCTGTGTACGAACCAAAAAAAATGGGTTCAATGTCAAAATTGAGGTCCTTCAAGAAATAGCTACATAGCACCCCCTTCATAATTTCAAAATGAAACTCCTGCTTCTTTGAGTGACTCAGACCAATGGACTAACAGACACTTATCTTGGATACAACTGAAAATGGCACGACTGCGTTCTCTACAACATTTCTAAATGAAAGCCCTGCTCTGGTGTGCGTCCAAAACCTGTGGAATTAGTGACACTGAAGTTGAACCTTAACACGAACAAAAACAGTTTGAATATCAAAATGGAGATCCATCAAAACATGGCTCTATGGCGCCACCTTCAAATTTCTTTAATGTGAACCACGCTCCTGTGTTTGACCTAAACCTATGAAATTGATGACACTTATGTTTGACCTCAAGACGAACAAAAAGGGTTTAACTGTCATAATGGATATCCATCATAAAAAGGCCCCATAGCGCCCCCTTCAAAATTTCAAAACGTAAACCCGCTCCTGTGGTCCAGACAAGTGGATTCAATGACACTTATCTTGAACCCCAAGAGGAAAAGAAATGGGTTCCAATGTAAAAATTGGGGACCCATCAAAAAATTCCTTCATTTCTCCCTCTACAAAATTTCAAAATGTAAGTTCAGCTCCTGTGTTTGACCTAAACCGAGGGATTCAATGACACCTACGTTGGACTCAAAGTTAAACAAAAAGTTTTCCACTGTCAAAATGGATTTCCAACAAAAATGTGGTCATAGCGCCCTCTACAAAAATTTCAGGACTCAGTGCTGTATTTGAAGTCTGGTGTATACCCTGTCAATAGGAATGGAGCCAGGACCGTCCGTTGTGGAACCCCTGTACTTAATAACAAAATTTTAAGCCTTTGAGAGTCCATTCAAAACAAAACGGCTAATGCCTAAACAAAACAATGGCCCAGCTCCATGTGTGAATACTGAAAAGATGTTTGCAGTCAGCAGCATGTAACTGTAGTGATTTGTAATAATGGAAAAACAGCACCATCTGGTGGTGTGCTTCTGTCACTGCCCTACATAAAAAAGATGTTTGCAGTCAGCACATCACCATAGAAATATTTGATTATGGTATGACAGCCGCATCTAGTGGTGAGCTTCAGTTGCTGCCCTACATATAAATATAAAGAGTGTTACAGAGCTGTAGCTAAAAGCTGTATAAATGCAAAATTATTAAAGTGCTAAATAGGTGGTATTGATCTCAAAAGTATTAAGAGCAGAAGTTTAAAAACTTGTATGAATGTAAAAAATGCTCACGTGAAGACAAAGTTGTAAGACCTGTCAATATTTGTCAATATAGAATTGTTACAGAGCTGTGGTATAAAAAAGGCATATGAATGTAAAATTATGAAAGTATGAAGAAGTGGTATTAATCTTAAAAGTATAGAGAGCAGAATTTTAAATACTTTTATGAATGTAAAAAATGCTCAAGTGAAGAAAAAGTTGTAAGACTTTTGTGAATAAAAATAAATAAAGATCAGTCTAGGTGCTTTGGAAAGACAAGTGCCTAGAGATTTATATATTACAAACTCCCCATGAAATGTTGAAATATTCAAAAGAGGTTTGCAGTCAGCAGCATGTAACCATAGTCACTGGTAGCGGCACAACACTACCTTATAGTGTGCTTCAGTTACTAACTTACCAAGCTGAAGCGCACCGCAAGATGGAGTAGTGCGTGCGGACAGAGTGTGTAGGAAATCGACAAGCACACAACACATGAGAAGTGCTCCACCATGGGTGAAGTGGATACCGTCTGAACTTCTTTACCTGACGCAGTTTTTCCAAGTGGTATCATGAAAATAAGACCATCTTAAGAATTCTGGCACTCTCATGATCACTTCTAATTGTACAGAAAAAGTGAAATATTGCAAAAAGTATAAATGGTAGAAAGGTGAAAATTACACCCCACTAGATGGTGCTGTCATACCATAATCAAAAATTACTATGGTTACATTCTGACTGTAAACTTCTTTTGAGTACTTCCACATTTCACGGGGAGGTTGTAATACATACAATTTTAGGCATTTGGCTATCCGAAGCACCTCGACTGATCATTTTTCTTT